CCATGAGGATATCCCCAAAGCACCACAGGAGGGAACCCAAAGAGGCATTATCCAGAATCTATATGAGTCTAACTCTTTAAAAGAAATAGAGAATCTTCTTGAATTCCCATTAGGAAAGTTCATATTAAATGTATCAATTCTTAGCCTTAAATTTATCAACCCTTAGCCCTTAATTTATCAACCATCAACTTTCAATCTAGCAACAATCAGCCCTACTTCAACTTACTTCCAAGGATTCTCAGTCCCAATTCGATCCTCCTTTGGAAATATATTCTTATAGGGAACTGAGCTGGATTTGGTTCTCACTTTGCTTTGCTTTTTCCCTTGCTGCAGGCAAACCTGTTCTCTCACCCCCCTCAGAGGCAGAGCAGAAGAAATCTGAGCCCTTCCAGCAGCCCAAGCAGAGGAGAAAACCCCGAGTTCTGTTCTCCCAAGCTCAGGTATTCCAACTGGAGCAGCGATTCAAGCAGCAAAAATATCTCTCTGCCCCGGAGAGGGAGCACTTGGCCAGGCTACTGCAGCTCAGCTCCACACAGGTGAAAATCTGGTTCCAGAATCGACGCTACAAGTGCAAGAGGCAGAGACAGGACAAATCCCTGGCACTGGCAGCTCAACCCTTGCCCCCACGCAGGGTGGCAGTGCCTGTGCTGGTCAGGGATGGCAAACCCTGCCTGGGGGGCTCCCAGTCTTTCCCAGTCCCCTACAGCCTCCCTGCCAGTCCTTACCCCTGCAGCTCTTACTGCAGTGCCTACAGCAGCTCCTACAGAGGAGGATATCCAGGGGTGGCCTCCAGTGCCACCCCCAGGAGCTTGGGCACTGCCAGTGCCCAGCACCAGCCCATGGCACTGCAAAGCTCTGTGCAAGCATCAAGCAGCCCTGGGAGGTGGAGGTGAGGACGTGGAAAGCAGTGCAGAAAGTTCTTCTCCACTCCAGAGGCAAAGTTTTGGTGGGATGGGAGTGGAATCCTAAGGATTTCTGCCAGTCTGGATCAACTCCAGCTCCTTCTGTCACATCCCTGCAAAAGCAGCTTGGGATAGAGGGACACACTGCACCCCAGCACAGAGACTTTGGGGCATAAGGACTGAGGGCATTAAATATTATTTATTATAAACCACAATAATTTAGAGTCTGCCCCTTCCCACTCCCAGAGGATTTGCTCCTCCAGGATTTCTGGCCATTAAGAGAGTTTGACTACTGGTTTTGCTTCCTAAAGCCAACTGGAAAACAGGTTCTGTGCACAGTTATGGACAGTCTGAGTTCCTGTCATCTTTGAGATGTGTTTCTGATTGATATTTCTTCATATCTCCTAGCTCAGGTGTCAAATCCCGTCTTTATTTTTATTATTATTTGCAAATAAAAACCAATTCGGTGAAATTGTGTTTTCACCTCACTTTGTGGTTTTGGCTTTTTCCACCTGCAATTTGCACCTGAGCCAAAGGAAAAAAAAAAAGAAAACCCAAATCAAATACTAATCATTAATATAGAAAGATAATTGCCTTGTGGTCCAAGTTTGGGGAGGTCCTAGGGTTAAACATTGGAGAAGGTTTAACCCCCTCAAGGTTCAATTCCCTCCAAAGGTTTGACTCCTCCAAAGTTTCATTCCTTCCAAAGTTTAACCTCCTCCAAGGTTTGACTCCTCCAAGGTTTAACCCCCTCAAGGTTCAATTCCTTCCAAAGGTTTAACCCCTTCCAAGGTTTAATTCTCTCCAAGGTTTAACCCCTTCCAAGATTTAATTCCCTCCAAGGTTTGACTCCTCCAAGATTTAATTCTCTCCAAGGTTTAACCCCTTCCAAGATTTAATTCCCTCCAAGGTTTCACTCCTCCAAGGTTTAACCCTCCAAGGTTTAACCCCCTCCAAGGTTTCATCTCCTTCCTAACTCTTGGTGTTTTCAGCTCTCTTGGAATATCTTTGCTGATGAAATGAGTTTGTAGGTACATCCTGGGGCAGCTCACAGGATCCTGCTGTGGGTTGGTGTCCCCTGAGTTCTATCAATGCTATCCCT